TGCCCATTTTCACTTGAGTAGTGGAGAGGTGTTCTATTATTCTCATTTTGAATATTCACATTTGTAGATTTATCGAGGAGAAGTTCAGCAATTTCTAAATGCCCATATTCACTTGCATAGTGGAGAGGAATTCTATTATTTTCATCCTGAAGATCCACATTTGCAGATCTGTCGAGGAGAAGTTTAGCGATTTCTAAATGCCCATTTTCACTTGAGTAGTGGAGAGGTGTTCTATTATTCTCATTTTGAATATTCACATTTGTAGATTTATCGAGGAGAAGTTCAGCAATTTCTAAATGCCCATATTCACTTGCATAGTGGAGAGGAATTCTATTATTTTCATCCTGAAGATCCACATTTGCAGATCTGTCGAGGAGAAGTTTAGCAATATCTAAATGCCCTCTTCCGCTTGCATAGTGGAGAGGTGTTCTTTTATTTTCATCCTGAAGATCCACATTTGCAGATCTATCGAGGAGAAGTTTAGCAATTTCTAAATACCCATTTTCACTAGCATAGTGGAGAGGTGTTCTTTTATTCTCATCTTGAAGATTCACATTTGTAGATTTATCGAGGAGAAGTTCAGCAATTTCTAAATGCCCATTTTCACTTGCATAGTGGAGAGATGATTTATTATTTTTATCCTGAAGATCCACATTTGCAGATCAATCGAGGAGAAGTTTTGCAGTTTCTAAATGCCCATATTCGATTGCATAGTGGAGAGGTGTGCTATTATTTTCATCCTGAAGATACAAATTTGCAGATCTATCGAGGAGAAGTTTAGCAATTTCTAAATGCCCATATTCGCTTGCATAGTGGAGAGGTGTGCTATTTTTTTCATCCTGAAGATTCACATTTGCAGATCTGTCGAGGAGAAGTTTAGCAATTTCTAAATGCCCATATTCACTTGCATAGTGGAGAGGTGTTCTTTTATTCTCATCTTGAAGATTCACATTTGTAGATTTATCGAGGAGAAGTTCAGCAATTTCTAAATGCCTCTTTTTACTTGCATAGTGGAGAGATGATCTATTATTTTCATCCTGAAGATCCACATTTGCAGATCTGTCGAGGAGAAGTTTAGCAATTTCTAAATGCCCATTTTCACTTGAGTAGTGGAGAGGTGTTCTATTATTCTCATCTTGAATATTCACATTTGTAGATTTATCGAGGAGAAGTTCAGCAATTTCTAAATGCCCATATTCACTTGCATAGTGGACAGGTGTTCTTTTCTTTTCATCCTGAAGATCCACATTTGCAGATCTATTGAGGAGAAGTTTAGCAATTTCTAAATGCCCATATTCACTTGCATAGTGGAGAGGTGTTCTTTTATTCTCATCTTGAAGATCCACATTTGCAGATCTATCGAGGAGAAGTTCAGCAATTTTTAAACGCCCAATTTTACTTGCATAGTGGAGAGATGATCTATTATTTTTATCCTGAAGATCCACATTTGCAGATCTATCGAGGAGAAGTTTTGCAGTTTCTAAATGCCCATATTCGATTGCATAGTGGAGAGGTGTGCTATTATTTTCATCCTGAAGATACAAATTTGCAGATCTATCGAGGAGAAGTTTAGCAATTTCTAAATGCCTCTTTTTACTTGCATAGTGGAGAGATGATCTATTATTTTCATCCTGAAGATCCACATTTGCAGATCTGTCGAGGAGAAGTTTAGCAATTTCTAAATGCCCATTTTCACTTGAGTAGTGGAGAGGTGTTCTATTATTCTCATCTTGAAGATTCACATTTGTAGATTTATCGAGGAGAAGTTCAGCAATTTCTAAATGCCCATATTCACTTGCATAGTGGAGAGGTGTTCTTTTATTCTCATCTTGAAGATTCACATTTGTAGATTTATCGAGGAGAAGTTCAGCAATTTCTAAATGCCCCTTTTTACTTGCATAGTGGAGAGATGATCTATTATTTTCATCCTGAAGATCCACATTTGCAGATCTGTCGAGGAGAAGTTCAGCAATTTCTAAATGCCCATTTTCACTTGAGTAGTGGAGAGGTGTTCTATTATTCTCATCTTGAATATTCACATTTGTAGATTTATCGAGGAGAAGTTCAGCAATTTCTAAATGCCCATATTCACTTGCATAGTGGAGAGGAATTCTATTATTTTCATCCTGAAGATCCACATTTGCAGATCTGTCGAGGAGAAGTTTAGCAATATCTAAATGCCCTCTTGCGCTTGCATAGTGGAGAGATGATCTATTATTTTCATCCTGAACATCCACATTTGCAGATCTATCGAGGAGAAGTTTAGCAATTTCTAAATGCCCATTTGCACTTGAAAAGTGGAGAGGTGTTCTATTATTCTCATCTTGAAAATTCACATTTGTAGATTTATCGAGGAGAAGTTCAGCAATTTCTAAATGCCCATATACACTTGCATAGTGGAGAGGAATTCTATTATTTTCATCCTGAAGATCCACATTTGCAGATCTGTCGAGGAGAAGTTTAGCAATATCTAAATGCCCTTTTCCGCTTGCATGGTGGAGAGGTGTTATTTTCTTTTCATCCTGAAGATCCACATTTGCAGATCTATCGAGGAGAAGTTTAGCAATTTCTAAATGCCCATTTTCGCTTGCATAGTGGAGATATGTGCTATTTTTTTCATCCTGAAGATCCACATTTGCAGATTTATCGAGGAGAAGTTTAACAATTTTCAAACGTTTATATATACTTGCATAGTAGAGAGGAGTTCTGTTTTTTTCATCCTGAAGATCCACATATGCAGATCTATCGAGGAGAAGTTCAGCAATTTCAAGATGTCCAAATTTAGTTGCAATGTGCAGAGGACTTGTTTTGATGCGTTTATCATCATTGACGATTAGATTAGCATCGATGCCATAATCAAGTAGAAATAAAACCAGCTCAGAATTACCAGCATGCGTCGCAGTGTGTAATAACGATCCATATTTTTCGTGTTTTCTTGTTTTGAAATCATTCTTTTGTAGTAGTTCCTTTACTACTTTTACTGAACTTGCTTCACATGCCCAGTATGCAACCTTGCATTTTTCTTTACAAATATCGCTCAAAACAATCATTTGGTCTGATTGTTCTGAATACTGTTCTTCAGTTAGCTTAAAAAAAAATCTTCGAACTGTTTTATGTTCAGCAAGTGTTTCGTACAAAATTGCTTTGCATTTTTGGATATAATCATATATATACATTGCAGCAAAAAATTCGGCATATGATAAGTGTATGAACCAAAGCTTGCCATTGGAAATATCAAAAAGAGGAGAGAGCTCTTTTCCGTTTTTGATTCGTTTTTGAAGGTCATTGTAAATTGTTTCGTGTTCACCCGATGTGGTTACTTCCTTATGGTTATACTTATCAATCTGATGCCAGGCAGCTATTTGATGTTCAATAATAAAGTATTTCCACTGACGGTTCTCTTCTTCATCACTTTGCATGTCAATATTTCGGTAAGCATCTTGGTTTCTTTTTTTCTTCCATTTGATTTGAAACGAAAACTGCACAAACTTTTTAAACAATGAGACAATATTAAATTTTTCTGTCGGGAAAATGTCTTGTGAACGGTTATCTGGAACAGTATTTACATATTGTTGGAAATCATCAGAATATGCTTCCGCCACCAATCGAATCATAAGGGGAATCCCAAAGAATTCAGACTCAAAGCTTGTTATGTCCGAGCAGAATTTTTCGAGCAATTGAGTTGAATAAATTTTAAATTCCTCTGAATCATCGGAAGTTTTCCATGAATTTTTCAAAAACATCATTTGTTCATCGTTTTCAAATGGAATCAATCTGATTGCCGCTGCTCCAAAAGCTGTTTCAAGAATACTTTTGACATGATATCTTCCACTTACAATCACTCGAATATTCTTCTTTGACAATATTTGCTTAAACATGGCGATTGCCTCGTTATGAAAAGTGATCTCATCGAACCCATCAAACATGATCATAGACCGATTTGCGTTGCTTTCTAGATTGTTTTTCAATATTGTCAAGCTTGTTTTTGAAAGAGTCGGATCAAGAATTGTGTAAACCGTTTCTAAGTTTTCACATCCCGTTTTGAGCATTTCCTGTAACTTATTCAAATATATCAAGAACACATCAATATCGGATTTCTTTTGAACTTCGAATGCAATGTATTGGAGGATAGTTGTTTTTCCCATACCAGGCTCTCCGATAAAGAGATAGAATTTGTTTTCTCCTTGGTCGTCCAGTAATCGTTTGATGAAATCATGGTCGCTTACAATATGCTTGTTATCAATTAATTTTCTTTCTATGTACGAGCTTTTACGTTGTGATAAATGATGACTCAGTTCTTCCGTTATGTCTTTGACACACTGACGTCCATCGGCTTCAGTTAAGTAAATCTTTCGTGTATGCTTGTCACTACTAAGATTGATCCAATCTTTAAAACATTCTTTAAATTTAAAGAAAGGCAGCTCTAATTGTGAATGCTTGCCAAGATCGTCCGGTGGAATCCAAGTTCTCATCCATGAGCGAAGATCATCTTTAACGGTTGTCATTAGATCACTTGGTTGGTCTACACAGAAAGTTAGATGCTGAAAGAACTTGCTCACGCTATCTTCATTTAAATATGTAGGTAGTTGTGTGTCCCTAGATTTACCTTTCATCAGATCTTTATACGTTTTACTTTTTACTATGTCTACCGTTGCTTTTCCAACAATCTTATATCGTACCTCATTGTACAACCATTGATGGGTGGTATCGACCTGGCTGTTTGAGTTATCACTATTTGAATTATTAATTAAATCCGGCAGGATCTTCTGCAATGGTGTTTTGTACTTCGTCAGTAAGTCCGAAGTTTTTCCACTTTTGAAGAGTTCAATGATCGCATCCCTAATGGCAGTTATTTCGGAGTTCATTAACTTCAGTAATTCTTCAATGTTATCTTCTTTTGGTCTGAATCTTATGTAGCAATGGTCGGATTTAGCTAACTTCATTATTGGGTTCACTTCACTTTGTTTACAGATCTCGATGTTCACCAACTTCTTAATCGTTTCTCCTTCAACTCCTTGAACTCATCTTTTTGCATAACATCTATATATGACTGTATGTACTTCACAAGAGCAAAATCTTGATTATCCTTGAACATCTTCGGAAAAAAATTGTCGAACGATAATGGTTTTGTATCACCTGAGCTGCCTTTGTGTTTGGCTTGCATTAACCACACTTCCTCCTGTTCTTTGAAAATTATGACTACGTCATCAAATTTTCCAGCGTCCTTCATTTCTGAGGCAAGTTTGAATTCTGATTCCCCGAAAGATGCTCGCTCAAACAGCACCAATGCTAAATCTTCTTCGTATTTGTTGCCATGATTGCCAGTATTGCCACCCCATGCATAGGCCTCTGGTTCCTTGGTGGGCTCCATTATTTTCCCTAGAAAGAAAAGAATAGTCTATTAGTAACATTTATCATTAGTATTTCATTTCTATTCGTTCAAGATAATCTGGACATAGAAAAAGCATTCTACAGTGTTTGGCATGAAGGTTTGATCTCCATATTGAAAAAGTTTAATTTTCCACTTTATATTTATTATTTCAAAATTATGTAGCTTACAGAGCTCTACTCTGACTGACTACCTGTTAGCGCTGGTGTTCCTCAGGATAGCATTCTTGGGCCGATATTGTAAAACATTTCACTTCAACATAAAGGAAGAAATCTTCGTGGTATTTGCAGCAGACTGCAGAAAAGTTTAGATATTGTCTCTGCTTATTTAAAAAAAAAACAGATTTCTCCCAACGCTTCCAAAACATAACTTATAAAGTTTCCACATAAGCCTAGAGCTTCGTTTTTGAAACAATAGTAGTAGTCACATATTCACTATGAACAGAGTTCCAATTTCCTGGTCAAATCAATATATATGAGAATATCCAAGTCAAATGTTAAACAAATATAAAATGTTTGTAGGGCTTGGATCCAATTTGGGGCCTACTAAGTACAACCCGCCCTTTTCCTCTATTTTTTGAGTGGATTTTTTCACACAATGGAATGTTTTCACTGCAGATGACTTTTAAATTTATTTACCTTTCCATGCGTACTGTAATATCTGCTTCAGAGAAACAAATTGTTGAGATATTGTTAAAAATCTAACATCGCTTTTTGGCCTTAAAATCAGCCTACGAATTCCAAAATAAGCCTAATGCATTGAAACGCATTCGCATCGTCAGCGTATTCAAGAACCATACTCGTGAGACGATATAGCCATCAAAAGGTGAGGATTTTCCCAGATGGGCTCTGTTTATGCCAGATGTTGGCTCTTGGGGAGCGAGTGGAAGGATACGAAGGGGTTATGCTATTTTTTGAGAAATTTGTTGTGGGGGGATTAACACTGGAGGCTGAAATATGATGGTGTATTATTTTTTCGGAAGAAAACACATGCCCATCATGCGGTACATGGGCTCATTGAACAAATAATTAAGGTTGAATCTATTTCAATTATGATGCGGTGCAGAGTTGCAGTTTGAGGAAAATACGATTGCCACGCAAGTTAAAAGGTGGGTCATGATCAATTACGATGAATACCTAGAATTTTAAAGTTCAAAACGATTTGAAAATTTGAAATTATACCATTTTAAATCCATACTTGTTTTTCTATCGAACAATCAATATTTATATATTGGAACCTAAACAAACTTTTTATTTTAAATGATTTTTTTCTCAGAGCTGATATGGCCGATTGAAATTAATTTTTTTAACATTGTTCCGGTGAGTGGTTTTCACATCTGTTGGATGGTACTTCCTCCCAGGCCTCTCCCTCTTTGTTATGTATTCAATAATGTGTTGGCACGGGGGTGTTTTGCAGTCTTTATCACACATCTTTTTTGTATCCTCTGTTCGGGACATAAACCCACAGCGACCAGTTATTTGATATATTGTAGTACATGCCGTGTCCTTAAGGTTCAATTTACTTTGATGCATTTTTTTAAATTCAAAAGCAGTTTTTTTCGACGCATTATTTTAGATTGCAAAAAGCTCGCCTCATTCTGTGTAAAATATCAAAAGGAATCGAATAGTGCGAGCTTTTTTTCAATTTGAAATAATGCGTCGAAAAAAACTGCTCTTGAAATTTTTCAAAAAGCATCAAAATAAATTGAACCTTAATTACATCAGGCATAACATCTGATATCGGCACAAAAGCATTTGTAAACAAACTTTCTAAGGCCCTTAAAACGCGAGCCAAAGCACACCCACGCAAATCAACAACATCATCGGATAGGGGCAACTATCACCTTTCCGAAAGTAGTATTGGTTTGCGTGAGCGTATTTTGGTTCGCATGTAAAGGGCCTTAGAAAGTTTGTTTACAAATGCTTTTGTGCCGTTATCAAATGTTATGCCTGACTTCATCACTTTTGAGAAATAATGAAGTATTCGGTTTTGATACAATTGTCATTCTTGCCTTTATACCCTTCGAATAGTGAGAGCACCCTCCAAAGGCGCGCCCCTTTGTCAATCAAAATTTAATTCCTTAGCCTTAAAATTAAGGAATGCCATTGATAATGGCCATGCATCAGAACCCTAGTCTTAACCACTTCAAAATAGGGAACAACAAATAGAAGATTAGCAATCACATCGATGAAGACTAACTAACTCATTTTGACGTAGGACTACGTCTGTGATTTCTATATGAGGGTACGCTTTGTGAAAACCGAAAATAGAACATGTAACGAAATTATGACAGATTTTTAACGTTAATAACTCAGCTGCCCCTGGACCAATTTCTGCATTTATCACCAATCGATCAGAAATATTTCTATTTCTAATATTTCTGTTTACAAGAACAAGAAACTATTGACAAAGTGGTAAATGTCAAGCGTTGTCCAAAAGCGTCGAAATAACTAACAAATCCACCAATTTTGTACAAGCATATGCTACTATATATACTACTATATATACTACTACTATATGTCGATGTAGCATTGCTGCTTCCCAGCACTTTCATCAGAGAGTCATTAGTAGACGAAACAAGCCGAAGTGGCATTCGCTTCCGATATTCGGGCGTGTGCGAATAGGGAGGATGAAATTGCGTAACATTTTGCACACTCATGGCCTTTTTCAGAACCACACGCCCCCAACGACTAAACAAAATACTCTCCAGAGTTGTAATCTTGTAACCAAACCTAGAAGCGGGGTGCAAGTGATTTTGATCGATTCTTTTCTTTGACCTTCTGTTTCGTTAATAACTCGATGGTATTGATTGCATTTATTGATGCGTTTGTTGTTCTGGATGATAAAAGAGCATAGCAGAAATAGTACGAAATAGGTTAGTGAAGGTTAGTGGTCATCAAAAAAGGAAATCAATGAAGAAAATTGACTTTCACCCCTCTACTTCTAAACCCCTTAATTTAGTCGTCTTCATAGCAATGAAAACTAGCATCGCATCGCTTTTGGTTCTTGGGTTGCACTTGCTTGCAAAAAACATGAAATTACACTATTTTCTAGAGAAGCATAATTTTTTTTTTTTTTATGGTATGGATGTTAACCACTACGCCGGGGTCGCCCCCCGGGATGTATAAAAGTCAAATAATTCGATTTACGATTAATCGTGAAGATTTTTCCAGCAATTCGATTAAATATATATCGAATTATCAATTATTCGAGCGCATAACCTTTTTATTTCTACTTTTTTATTTAGCGCAGTAGAGAAGAACCATGACGTGAAACAGGATCATAAATTCGCCGAAAAAAGTGTTAAGCGTCTTCCTGCTAAAGGCTAAGATTTACCAACTTGTTGAGAGAAGGAGGTTAACGAGAAAAGCTAAAAAGGGGAGGAGCTTTAACTGGGTGGACACTACTTTTCCGGCCTTCCAACCTGTCACAGACACCAGTTCAGCCCCTGTTCAGCAGCATACGTGCCAAGACTCTTGCGAGTGTCCAATCACTGAACCGAAGAATATGGGATCATCATCTTCCAAAGGCTTTAGGGTGAATCGCTGTGACCTCCTTATTCTCGGAACCACTTCGAAACTTTAAGTTCACTTATGTCAGCTTCTACGACACGTGCAACATTCAAATTATTACTCCATGTTTGATGGACTGCAGCATACATGAAGAAGCATTTTGAGGTGAAATGGGGCACCGATTTCCGAGATTTGTGTAATTTAAAATTAAAAGTGGAAGTGCATTTATAGCCTATGTGGCGGCCATTTGTGGACGCTACAAGAAATCACCTTAAGCCTGTACTACCCTTTCAGGTCCACCAAGATTTCATCCTCGGTGGACAAAGCCGAGTCTTGTCACTATCAAAAAGTCATAAAAAGTAACAATGACTAAGATGTGTTCATTTGATTACTGAAAAACCCTGTTCCCCTAGTTTGAAGTAGTTAGTCATCACTATGAATCGGTGGTAGATCTTACGTACCACGAAAAGGTGATCTACCCACGTCACGGGGCATCATATATCTTACTTATCATTACGAAAACGAATTCTTTTGTGGCACTCTCGGAAATGATAGAGAACAGTCATAAAACCACACCCAAGCAACACGGCTTGTCATAAAGAAGTTGAAAATATTTTTCAATTACTAACGTAAAGAATCAATAATACTCTATTATACATCATTTCATTAATTTATACAACCTAAAAAGTGCAAGACGCGTAGTTTATAAAACTAAATAATGGTCTTATAATATGTTTTGGAAACATCATAAAAACCAGCGGCAAAAACATAAAAGAAATGAGCATGGGATTCAAACACTGGTCCTCGTGGTAGACTTATTACTTCCTAACTAAATCAACTCCGCTTGATAAAAGTTTTATTATGAGTATCTAATCATGTTCTTGCCAATGGTATGAAAATTATATTCTCGTGCAACACGCTTTCGATCCGTCATAAAGACGTTTTGTAAGTAGCAAAGCGTACATTTAATTACCAGAAAGTCATTTAAAAGTATTCTCAACTCCTTATAAGTCAAACTACTCCTTTTCAATTGTATTAATTTATGAAATGTCATAAAAAAGTGTTTTCAATTTTTGTTATAAAACCTCCGAAAACCTCATATGAAACTATCAATCACTGCGTGAAGAGACAGTCCGACTCAATAACGCCGTCTATGTTCACGCCAATCTGAAAAATATAGAATCTCTTCAAGAACTTTATAAATTCAACTAATATTGATTTTACATATGACAAGTTTTATGATGGTATTAAAACAGTAAGAAGCTCGTTTAAATAAAATTCAAAGATAAAATAAAATAAAACTATTTTAAAAAATGCTAATATCTATGAAGTATGAAGAAAGCATCTAAAAACCTCATGTAAAACGTGCGATGTTTCTGCATCACTTATAATACATGTATACAACAAGTCATTCTAATTCTTTATCAAAAATATGTTTTGTGTTTTACTTGGGCATGTCTACCATCCGGTTGCGGATG